TATTATACTAATCAAAATTATGCTATATTTAAATTTAATCCCAGTACCGAATGTGTTAACTTATTTTCACTTAGGAAATTAACAAAACATGTAACTGGGCTGTTCAAAGTTTATTTCTGAAAGTATTTTTTTAAATGTAGCACTACTGGCTAGCACCACAGCTTATCAATCCTCAAAAAAAAACTAAATTTTGTCATACGTACTGCGTATCGTGAAAGTATTGTGATGCTGTATTTTTGATACATTGCCCACCCTTACTCTCCAATAATACCCTCTGACATAGTATCTGAAAATTTTAATTTCAATGAGCCTATTTTCTTACATACTGAGTCACCAGCTGCTTACCTTTATTACCTCAAACTGATTTACTGGAAAACTTGAAAAACAATCATGGCTAAAATAACAATAACAGATAAAACACATTCAAACCTTACCTTTAAAAAAGAAAAAAAGAACTAATGAAAAAAAGCTAAGAGCTAATTAACAGAAACCAACAAAATCCCTATGAACGCTGGGAAGCTCCTCCCCAACACAACAATATTCATATTATCATAAGACTGTGTGAGTTTCTGTTGCTGTTTATTATAAATTTGACAATTGAGAATTAATCATATCTGATCTAATCATATTACAGTGGACAAAAATTACAAACATATTAGTCTGTAAACACAGTGATGTCCGTTTAATTCAGATCATATAAAATTATATCTGGTGACAAAACTGTCATATCAGTCAGGCCCTACTATTAACTCTCTTAGCATGAGTGGTTTTAAAGCAAAAATGTTTAAGTGTGGTGGCGCACTGACAGATCAGCTAGTTGGTTTTAGATTAACACCAAGGGAAAACATCACTACAATCTACATCTAAAGCTTAAACAACATGGGATGGTCATCAACTCAGTTTACCATTAAAAAACAAAACACTCTCCCCTCAGGTGGTCATGGAAGCTGACGGTTTTAAGTTACAGTACCTAATGAAGCAGGTGCAGTGACATTTAGGAGCCGCCCCGCACTCATAGCAGACCTTCTGTGCTGGCGCATCGCCAAGGACACAAACGGGGCCATGGGGGCGAGGCACCGGAGAAGACGGCAAGCCATCCTGTCCTATAGCGAACTTGAGCAGAGATAGTTGGGTGGAGCTATGCGGAAGACAGTTGGAAGGAGTGGGCCGGGGTCACTCAGCAGAGAGGTGTGAAAAGGGCAAGCTACAGAATCAAACAAGTTCAAATTTATAGGACTACAACTTAGGTTCATTTTGAATATTAGACCTTAATCAACAGCGGTCAGCATTAAACTAGTGTAAAATGTATGGAAGTTGTATGGAAAAACAGCAGCTAAAGTAAGGGAACATATTATGAGACATAAAAAGGCTAGAGTTTATCTGAGAGGTCCATCTAGTGGCCATGAAGCTAATTCTGGGACAAAGCAAAAAAGATAATTTTTTCTTTCGCATACAACTTGTCTGTGGGCAGCATTAGCACTACAGAGAGCCTTGCAGTTCAAAAAGACCCTTAAATTTGCAAGTCAATCTTTCATTAATAGGCATAAATAGTGAAAAAAATATATAACTGTAAGACAGGAGACAGGATGAACTGATTAGGCCTCAACAAAGTCACAAAACAGTCAGTCATTCAGTTTTAACTAACAATTTAACAAATATGTCATGGCTTTCCATCTGACTGTTAAGACAAATTACATCATTCGGTTTTAGTTCTGAGTTGCTTTGCAACATGAAATGACAGCCAGTTGTCAGTTGATCAATCATAAAATACTCAAGATTTATTGGTGTAAGTGAGGCCACATTTTAAAAATACACAACTATGAACCACCAGACTATAAATAGCAGAGTATGCTCGGTTCAAGCTCTCCGGCTTATGCCTGTAATTGTTCCAAACTCAAGGTTCACACAACTTACATACCATGGTAAACCTTTGCAGGACCTGTCGCCGTCCTTCGGAATCGCTAACGGTTGTGAGTTCTTCAAAGAAATTATGATATCAAACATAATAAACAATTACCATTGTAATAGTCTGGAATACTATACTATCAGGCTACATCACTGATCAGCTTAATCAACATGTTTAACCACCTAGCTTTGTCTGCACCAAGTTCTTCCAAGCTAGTAAGGCCTTATATTTCACCCAGATGTGCCTTTTCTTAATAGATGCTGAGTCATTGTGGCTTAAAAGCTAGACCTTCATTAGTTTGAGAAAGTGACTAAACTTCCATTACACACAGGCCTCATGCAGACAGTGTCAAGGCAAAACGCTGTATCAGATGTTTTGTCTTCCATGTCAATGGCAAAGGTGTCAAAAGTGAGACAAAAAAGGACTTTACGGGAGGATCGGAAATACTGGTGCGATTCGTAGCTTTAGTCTGCTCCCTCCGGATGCTCACAGCTTTATACGACCTTATATGGCTGTGATGGCTGGATGAGAGCTCAGTGTTCTGTAAACTTACAGCAAACATTTCTTTCCGAGCCAAGTGGATTTGCATGCAATCCTCCTGAGCTATGAAGCACAAAGGCTCCCCCTGTTAACTGCCATCCAGTCTGAGTATGACAGGCTTCCTCTGTCAAATAGTTTAGTTGTTAAAGGAGATTAGTTTAACCGTACATTTTGGCAGAAGCCTCACATTCAAGGATGCAGGAATGCGTATGATTCAGCATAATACTTAAAATACACAAAATACATATCTTTAAAAGGGCATTTCACATTTATGTCCTTATGGTCCATGGCTGGCATAAACTCAAGCTGTTACGTAATGCTACTCATTGGACCAGAGGGTGTATGTAACTCATGTTTGAACCAGAGCAAATTGTCAAATAAATCAACACATTTCTACAAAAGGCTGCTTCTCCATTGTGATAGATAATGTGCGCTATTTAGTTACTACAGTTGCTATAGTTACTGCGTGCTTAGTTAGCCAGCTAGCTGGCGCTTATAAGGAGTCTGAAGTTAAGTGTCATGATAACGAGCTAGCTGTTGGTAACGGGTGACAGTAGACTATGGTTAGCCAGCTGTATAAACACAATAACTGTACAAATAACACATTATAACTCTTTCTGAAAGGTAAACGAAAGAAAAACGGTGTAAACAAACTGACTGTAAAATGTAAGCCAGTCACGTTAGCAACAGACACCAATAAATAACGTCAGCCACTGAGCTACAGCTGAGACAAGCTGGACGTGTTTCCATACATGTGATAAAACGAGGTGAACTTACCAGTAAAAAGAAGCAGAGCCAAAGTCAGGGAGAAACTGGAGAGTGAACCGGCCGGTCGGAAGTGGACGAGCTGCATTTGTTGACAGCAGATATAGCGGTCAGTCAGCGCTGGGCTTCTTAGGGAATGAGCAGTGCATTGTGGGAAATGCCTTCCCCATGGTGCCACAATCTCCAAATATGAGCAATAACGGCCGTTTACCTTCGGACGGGGAGCTAACCAGCAGTGCTCAGACAAAAGGATGTAAAAAACGATTAAACATTCATTAAAAATTAAAAAAATCATTTTATTGCTACAAAATAAACTCAGATATGACGGTATAATCCTCCAGGACGGCATGTATGTTACATGTCTGCACTTTACTCTTTTCTCTTTGGCATGTTTCTAGAAACTTCAGGTTTTTGTGCGGCTTCTTAAAGGGGAAATGCTGCGTGCACGTCACCAGCCAGACCCTTGTCGACCAGCGGTGATAGGAACTAGACCTCTGAAGAGGTTAATGCCTATGAGAGCTCCCAGAAAGTTATTACATGAAATGATTCGGTATACGCCGTCTGATGGCTGATACATTGTCTTAGGATAGTTCTGTGATAAAGTTTTAGCGTAAAATGTATTTTAATCCATTTATTTTAATCCGTTCATGGCGGAGGGGTACGTACAGGGTGTTGTAAGGCAATATAATCCCCAAAGAAAACTTATTTGCCACTATGTTACCATCATCAACATTACATATAAAAACTCAGAAGACTCGTGTAGGGTCGCTGGTGGTTTTGGATGGTAAATTGGCAATATTTGTGTGGTAGACATGGCGACCCCTGGTTCCTATCACTGCGAAGAAAAGTGGGTAAATTTCTCTACAAATGAACCATTTCACATAAAACTACTCTAAATGCCTCTGTTTACATCTTGCGGATGAATTATTCCGAAATTTTGAAAAATTTGTGGAATTCCCCTGGTTTATGACGAAAATCATCTATACCAACGCCCGTTTATGTAATAATCACTCAATTCTTTCATAACATTTTTTAATGGACTAAATCATGTTGGTCAACCATTCTGCAACACCAGCATTCGAATCTTTGACGTTTTGACGTCTTTAGAACGTCCAGAATAAACCAGACTGAAGAAGGGTAGAACGTTCTAGAGCTGTGGTTCTCTGTCCTGGTCCTGGGGTACATCAGAGAGGGCTTGTTAATCTGTTTGAGTTGTATCCAGTGTGTTGAGAGAGGGGAAAATGGTAGGCCCACTGGTAGTCCAGAACCAAGAACTGGATTGAAGGTCTGGATTTGAAGACCTGTTTTAGATGCTTTCAAACGTTTCTGATTAAGGGTGTTTGGTCAGTGTGCTCTGGCCTTGAAACACTCTGTGTTTCATGATCTCCAGGTTCAGCTGACCAAACTGACCAAACCCCAAAAACCAGAAACTCTTGATTGTTGGAAGAATTTAAAACAGAGTTCATCAAATCAAGACCTTTAATCAATTTCCAGTACTGAATTTGCAGTCACTGGTAGGTATGACAATAGGTGGCCAATCGTGTATATCAAGTTTCATTATCAACTAACGAATACAAAATAGAGGACCAGAAACTGGACTCAGCACTCAGATCTGAAGACCTCTGACAATGTTCTCCCCATATTAACATTAGTTAGTTCAGACTGTTTTTATGGACCTACTGATGGTCATGGTATGCTCTAGATTTTACTGGTCAGTAAGTTAAGTGTGCCTCTCTGAGAACATTTTATGTATTTGAGGATTTAAAATTATGACACACCACTCTTCAAATTAAAAACCCCTAATAAACCTTTAATTAGAGCAGTTTAACAAGACAAGTGACAAATTACATTAAAACATCTGAAGCTTTAAAAAGCCTGGATTATTGTACACCTTCCCCTCTGGCTTGCAGGTCAGGGATATTGGTCAAAACCATACAATGTATTGAGACTGCCGCTGCATAATATTACATTTTACAGTTATAAATGTACAGTGTTTACATAAGATACATCAGAGAGGAAAAAATAAACATCAAGAATGCAGATGCAAGTCAGGTGACACTTTGGAGGCGTGCCACACCAATCCAACTTTACATTCACTCTCTTTACAGACTGCAGGAAAAAAGGAACAAAAATATATATATTTTAAAAAAAAAAACAGAGAGACAGAAAGAGAGAGAACGGGAAATGCCAGGCTACAGAAACAAAGGAAGATTACAACGATGTGTGCAAGAACCTGGTTTCTTTGAACATTTAGTGTTTTTAATATCTCACACAACACCAGCTCTGAGAGGTTGGACATAAAGGTCACCCCTGAACCCCCACTCCAAAATAAAAAGATAAATGAATCAAGGATAAAGGGGGTTCATTGTCAGCTAAGGAGTGATTTTTATTAATTAAAATCATGCGTGTACGTTTAGCTAGACATGAGGACTCAAATCTCATGTCATTAAAACACAAAATATTTAGGAGGATTAATAGAGGATCAACTATAATCTGCTCTTAAGCGATTACAGTCATTTTGGACCATTTTAAAAATTGTGAATACATTCCCAACAAATGCAGTGCCAGTCAATAAAACAGCACAAAATTAAGGCACGATTAGGTTATTTGCTGCAGAGAAGAGTGCACCTGTTTTTTTTGTTTGTTTTGACTACATGTGCATCGTTTGTACATCCCGCTGCAAATATTCCACCCCGTATTCACCTGCACTGCATTTCCCATATAAACAAAGCTCACACAGAGCAGCAATAACAGCGAATGAAGGGGCAGATTTACTAAACCCACTTAGCAACACCACTGGCAGGGATTGGTCAAAGAGTTTGCTGCCATTCTCTGCCAGCACTAATGCTGCCAAGTTGTCAGAACTTTTGCATATGCTACACGATTAAGTCAATCTGGCCCTTGGTGTTTACTTAGGGACAAAGTTTATTTCTAATACGAATTAACTCTAAAAAAATTGTATTACCTCAGAATATGCAATTACACTTTATTAACCTGTCTCATGACCTGAAAAGATACAATTGTAACATGACATGCTTTCTGTTTGTGAATACAGCTCAACACATGAAGAACCGCATGGCTTATCTGACCTTGAGACAAGACGTAGCCCTGCCACAAGCATAACTATGCACATAAGAAGGTCTCTAAACAGAACATCTAGATAAACTGGGCAGCTTCAGACATGAAGTTATCACTTTGGTGGGCTGTGGTTACCGGTGGATGAGGAAGCAAAGTCAACACAAACTGCACCAGTCATAATGAAAAGGCGTAACTTTCAAAATAAAGAAAATAATAATACATTAGAATATACTGAAAATACGATCAAGCTGGGAAGATTGAGGCGGACTGCATGAAGGGAAGGAATCAAGCAGTAAACTACAGAGGGAGCTCTAAACTCAAATGAAATTGGTGTAACTATGCTGGCAAGAAACGAATTCGAGCTTATGACAATTTGCAGTTTTATACAGATGATTTCAACCACCACCGTTCAACAAAATATTTACAGCACCCCTTCCAGAGTGTGTGCATGCCATTGTTTTTGGACTAAAAACTACAAAAACAACAAAGGAAAAAAAGAAAAGAAGGGAGTACATCAGCTAACACATCTTCAGGGAAATAAACATCCATTATATGATACAATTCAAAGCTTAAATATAGGGATACTTTAACCAGCACATGCAGCTATGTATAGCCCGACAGAACTCCTTTTAACTAAGGAGGGGAATAAGTTGCAGAAAAAGCGGAGGGAGGAGAGCAGAACCTCAGCAGCAGTTCCTGCTCTCATTTATTTCCTCAAATCTGAACATTAGAATAAATTGGAAGCCATTTTGTTTCCTTGTTTAATCCATATAGACAGTCTGTAAACAAAAAAGAAAAGTAAATGAAAAAAAAAACAAGATATATATTGTGTCCACTGCACCAAAGTTGGAGAGGAGAGATATGAACAACCAGCTCTTCTTAGCAAAGCTCTGATAATTCCACATATGTCCACCACCGGTATCGCTCCAGTACGCACATTTCTCCTCTTTGGCTTGATCTCAAAGATGAAGCTCACAGGTAGGCTCAAACCTTTCCGTGAGTGCTGTTGACTCCTCCAGCCCATAATGAGGAGAGAGCTCCTGAGCACGATTCTTGTTGAAGAGAAGGCCCAGGACAGGGGAGCCTCCCCAAGAGAGAAAAAGAGAGGGTGGAAGAAAGAGGAAAGGAGAGAGTGTAAGAGGAGGTGGTGGAGGTGAGAAACTGTTCGTGTGGCCCTCAGGAGAAGCCCAGGGAGCTGGATGTGCTGGAGCGCTGATGCAGACGGGCCATTGTGTTCATGCTGGAGCTGGAGGCCTTGAGGGGTGTGTTGCAGCCCAGGGCCTGCGGGAAACGCTGGTGGTAACGGTCCAGACGCAGGTACTTTACTGTCACCAGCTTCCCTGGAAAAAGCAACAAGTCAAGTATTCAGTAAAGCCCTGCAGCAGTTTTAAGCATATGGTCATTTGTACACTGCAATGCTGGTTCACAACCCCTCCTTCTATTACAATTACAGAATGCATTTACCATCAAACCAAGAGCCATGAAGCGCCTTAAAAGCTTTCCCAGCATGCTCCGCTGAAAGGCACTTCACGTAAACACAGCCCTATGGGAACAAAAGAGAGAGAGATAAGAATTTTCACCCATTAACACCCATTTGCGGACTTATATTCTAGGGTGAATGTTGCTTTTTGCTTGTCTAACTGCTTTGCCTTTACATTTTGATGCAGCAGTGAACAGAAGCCATTAGAGTAACAACAAACTGAGAAAACTCACCTCTCTTGAGTTCTTATCAACAGCAATGTGGACAATTCCATCATTGTCACTGCATTTCTCCAGAATGGCTTCATGTATGGCAAGATGCCAGTTTTCCCCCACCTCCCTGTTCAAAACAGAAGACTGAGTGGTGAGAAAACATCTGGGTCCAGAGCTTTAACTGGCCTGTCAAATGTATATGTTTACACAAGCATCTCAAACATGTTCACACAATGAAACAGTCATGGACCAGAACTGCTGTGTACTTTAGTGCCTACATTTCTCAACTCATTTAAAGCTGGGCATACATTACCCCACTTATAAAACCCTAACTAGGGATGCATCAATACCATTTTTCAGACCGAGTATCAGTTCATTTTTTAGTACTTAAGAATACCGATACCATACTGAGTGACCTACTTAGTAGTTGTTAGTGTAAATGAGTGTAATTTTTAACAGTTAAGCTGATAAAATCTAGGTGTTTTTAAATAAAGTACATTTGTTAGCTACGTTACGATGGTTACCCTTGACTGAGCAGCACTGCAGTATTTCTGTGCAGCTGTAAATAAAGTATGTTTCATAGTTTTGTTCTCATGTATCTCATCTGTCTCGTTCTGAGAAAAACTGGCATATACAGACTTTGGTACCACAAATGTCAACTTTCCCGGCTTCCGTTTAGCCAGTGTGTCTCCACTGTATTGGGGAAGTGGTTGTGATTGTGTTCATGTGTGCTTATAAACAGGCTAAAATTGCACAGTGTTTGTCTGGCAGTAATTTGCCAAGGCGTAAATGTTTCAAGTGACCAACAACTTTATGTCCGACCATCATAGCGTCACGTACACTTTGCTGTGTGAGCAGACTTCACTGCCCGCTTAAATTATTTGTTCACTATCAAGCAGTGTGCGCTAGGCTTATGTCACAGGGTATCAGATGGTATCAGATGTTAGTATTGGTGCATTTTTAGGAAGTACAAGTAAATGAGCACGGTATCAAGCCGAGACCCGATACCAGTATTGGTATCAATGAACCCCTAATCATAACAGATTTCAAAAATGGATATCACACTTAACATCAGTCTTTCTAGACCCTGGCACCCCCATGACTATGCATTGCTAGTTAGGTTGGAGCAAAATATGGACTGTCTGGAAAGCCCTGACAACCAGTTTGAGAACCATTGTACTAGACCACTATGCAAAATAAAAAAAAAAAATTAAATAAATAAATATTTGTTTGGTCACGGAGAGCACTCAAACTCCCAAATCCTGATACTGTGACTTGATACAACCAAAGCTAAAATTGGACCAGACTTGTTTGTGTTTTTACACACACACAAAAAGCAAGCTAAAACAACATGGTGAACGTTTTGAGAAACACAGATATCATTGTTTTACAGCAAGAGTAAAGACAATAGCTCTACATAGAACCAACAGCATGCTTAAAGGGTTCTTTGATGGAGAACGTGTTTCAATTGGTTCTATATAGAACTTTTTTGAAAAGAGTTCTATATAGAACCATATACAGCACATTCTCCATCAATCTGAGGAACCATTTTACAATGCAAAAAACCACTTAAACATGCAAATAGTTCTTCTTAGTTTCTATATAGACTCATTGTCTTTACTAAAGAATGCTTGAAGAACCCTAATTTTTAAGAGTGAAGTTCTGGTCCACACATTATTAACATAAAGGCACCTGCGCGTTTACCAGTGTTCAACATGCAGCTCCTCTATCTCTGCAGTCCGCTGCACAAACAGCATACATTTCTTAGCCTTACTCTCCCTCTTCTAGCTCCCACTGGATATTGCATGTAATGCTTGATTAGTTACCTTGCAGAACATCTCATGCTACAGGACTCATGAACATTTTCAGACAGGTCCAATCAAAGGCCTACCATCACTCTAGAGCTACACTGGAAAGCTAAATACTGACTTGTTTATCCTCTCACTCTACCAGTTTCAATCACATTCGATGGAGTTTCCAACCTGGAAAGTCACAACTTTCAAAAGGGGCAAATCGGGGTTAAAACACACTAAACACTCTAGTGAATAACAGGTGAAAGTTCCCCAGAAAACATTCTTATGACAAATCTTAACCAGAGCAGGTACTTGAAGAACTTACATTACAGGATCAAACATGTTGCGAATCTTCAGACATGGCGTTAAACTGTTTGGTGGCGAATTCCTCCGATCCAATGGGAATGCTGAAAAGCAAGACGGCAACAACAGTATGTTGAGCGTGGTGCCTTGGGAATCAGTTACACGATAGCCACAGAACGTCACAGGGACTCTTACCTTTACCCTGCCATACTTTGGAGGGCATACTGCACAACTTGTCACAGGACATGGAGGGCTGGAGCCACCTCCAGACAAGGAAGTCAGCTCCCCCGATCCTCTGTGTTTCTGTCCTGATGCGAGACTCATTGGCTGAGAGAAAGGACACAGCTCTGTCCCACACTTTCTTCATCTTCTTCCTACCATTTACACACAAAACAACACTGATCGTTTAGATCTTCACCAACATGATCATAACAGGTTCCAATGAGAAAGCAGACAGTGTTTATAGGTAGTTGGCCCTCGTAATTTGAATACTCTAGTATACATTCGTTATATTGTTATCTGTTTGTCGCTTAGTATGTAGAAGCTTTGTCATCTTTTGTTTCTCGTCCCCACTCCCCTCTACACTTTAACAAGTTTCCCCATTTTCTCTGAAAAACTTAAGCAAGATAAGCTAGTAAAACATAAACTGGTAAACAGCATTTAATAAGTGCAACAGCATTCGGGCAAAGAAGTGCATCCCTCAGCCACTCATTTACCTGCCACTGAAAGATGGCAATAAACAGATAGCAGACTAGCGAATTGGTTGCGCTAATTCCTATAACATCTATATGAATTTAGTGTAAAACACTAAAATTTCTCACCAATGCATTAATCCTGAATAAAATTTGTCTGCCTGTTAAAATTACTTCTCTCTCAATGGAGCTTGACCTTAGACCACTATGCTAGCAAGAGGAAATGAACAAACTTTAAATACTTATACTCTCCATTCAGTAAACCAGCTAAACTGACGAGAATTTACTTCAGCATCATCGCTGCTAAACAAGTAAGCAAAAATCCAGTCAGACTCATCCGTCTTCTTAGGGCTGTCCCCTTGAGCTGGAACCACTTACTGATTTATCACTAATTACTGATGACTGTATTGTAATCAATATGTGGAATTTGTTGCTTTTTGTATGAGTGTACACTTTGCATGACAAAAGGGACAGCTTTGAAGGCTCTAACAGAATTTGTTAGTGGGTACAATGGATTCAGACCTGTCCTGTGGCTGCACAAGTGAGTCTCGCACATGAGGAATGGGCAGGTATGGCTGCAAGTCCTTATTCTCCTGGCATGCCTCGTTATGGCTCCTCAGCACATCTGCACACACAGAAGTAAGCTTTTAAATGGGCATCAGATTCCACAAAAGTCATTCTGAAGGTCATTTATGCAGGACAAAAGGGCAAAAGACTGAACTGGTCTCCATACCTATGATCCTCTCCACCATGTCATACATCTGTCTGGTCTCCTCCTCCTCCCTCCTCCAGCGGTACTTCATGTAATACAGCAAGGCCCAGACAACACCAATGCCTTCAAGAACAGAGAGAAAGCATAGGATGACAAACTGAACATAACAAGGCTGTATTTTTGTAGCAGCAGCCTAAAAACTGAGTGCTGCTTCCCTTTTACACTGATCGGAATCAGCATGCAAATCCTAAATTTAATCATGAACTTAGGCTAAAATCAGTGTACAAGTAAAAGCTGAAACGCTGAGACCAACCAGCGAGGAAGAGGAGCACTCTGTAGATCACAGTGAAGAAGGCTCGTCGGAAGCGGCAGATGAAGGACATGCGTGGGTGGGTGGACTCCAGACGGGAGATATCTGACACTTCCTCCACTGCCTGTGCAGGGTCAGCTGCAATCAACCTGCAAACCACCAAGAATTAAGAGACAAAATGTTTACATGGTTGGGCCCCAAGTGCAACAAGACATGCACCATATTTATTAGAAATAACTGTATTTCAAAGTACCATAAGCTTTATAAAACATAATTAAAAACTGTTACAATAGCCTGAATGTTCAGCTTACCTTATGCCAACAATTTCTCCAGTTTTAATGATCCACTCCAGAGATATCTGTACCCAATCCTCATAGTCTTTATTTCGTAGCTGCACAGAACAATAGGACAATATGTACGTAAAATATATAATCAAATCCAATCTCACAGATCAAGCAATAAACTTTACCAAACACAGAATAACTAAGAGCTGGACTGAAACAGATGTGAAAAAAACACGTTTAATTCAAAAGAGACAGCTCATTTAGATTTACCCAGATTATTTAAAAGACACTTAACAGGAAGGAGGGAAAATAGCCATTAGCGGCATGTCAAAATGCAGCCTTACACTATTTGTGCAAACCTTAACGTACCTTCAGATACTCAGCGGCCTCAGAGAAGGAGATACTTCTGTTCAGTGGCTGGTTTAGGTCTTTGCAGTCATGTTCCCCTAAAAGAGAAGTCAAAATGCTATTGAAAATGACATTCAATTACATGTTTTATTGCTCACAATGTAACAAACTGCATTTACATAAACCTACTACAATTCTAGTGCTGGGAGATTCATAAAATAAAATTCAAAAGCACTACAGTTTTGTAGTATCACATAATATTAAAATTTTCCTTCATTAAATTTATTAGCCCATGCTTCCTGAGTGCTGGTACTCTGTGCTATGCCAAACCCGAAACAGCTTGTTTTGATTTCCTAGAGCAAATCTTAGGCCCTGTTCATACCTGGCATTAACAATTGACCTCAGAGATCTAATCATAAGTAGACAGCGGGATCTACAGCTGCTTACACCTGCCAATTCCACTACCACTTCCGACTGATTTTCGTTACTTGTAGAAAGGTGCTCTGCACATGTTCTCTGTCAGTCCCTCGCTGTATTTGTTTTCGGTCAAAAATGTGCCATGAATCCTTGTTCATGTTATTTATAAACTATTACAAATGTTTAGATCAAATGGATTATGATCAACATATAAACAAAGAAGAGAGGAAAAAAAAAAGAAAAAACGCAGCTCTTTTCGTTTTTGCTGCGATGAGACAGTTGATTAGACGGTCCTTCAGTGCTGCTGGGCTGATTGAGACACTTTAACATTCATACTAAAAATGTCATGTTCATATGCTTTCCTGACCATCTGGTATGATCAGAATGTGATCGGACGATAATGCATCTCCGAGACACAAGAGACCCCATTCACACCTCTACTTTGTGTTGTACACTAATGATGCACACTTTATATTAATGCCAGGTGCCAACAGAGCCTCACCCAATCGTGTAAAAGGTAACCAGACAAAAAGCAAATCTGCAGATACAGTCACAAGATATGACATTACTTACTATTACATGTGATTTTAAGCATTTTATACTGTTCTTTAACCCATCAGTAATGCTGAAACTAAATGTTAGTATTGTAGTGTGATACCAATACAGGTACAGAACTCCCAGTAGAGCCTGAAACATCTGACAGAACCAGACATGAGCAGTCGAGGCACGTCTGGTTCAGACAAATGTTTCAAGCTCTACTGAGAGTGCTATATCTGTATCATTATTAACGTCATCTCAAATGTGTGTCGGGCTCAAATTTCACATTTGAGTTTTCACAACCCGCCTCCTGCTTTTAAGTCCTTACTTTAGTCTTCACTACTTTCATTATGTTAAAGCAGCTATTAACCTAGCATGCTGGAGTCACTCACTCAGCACCGAGGACCACTCTTGTTAGAAAATGGGACACAAGCCGTGAACAGATTCAGGAATGTTCAGCTTAATGCAGCCAAGAGAATGCTTGATTTGTTTGGCCAAAAACACTTGTATTATATGTTTAATGTGCAGAAAAAAGTTTTAGTACTAAACAGCTGAAGGCTCCCATCTCACTATATCAGCACCACACAGTGTAACAACACAGCATGGAACGTTTACCAGGCTAAAAAAATTAATAGGTTTGAGATGCTGTTCAAAACAATTATCACAAATACATTTGTTAAAGCAATTTAACAAATAAACAGAAATTTATTTTGGACTGCTGATTATTCTACTATATTACTTCATATTGATACTTTATTTATCTGCATATTCATGACAGAAGACAGAAATATAGCCCTAGAATTTTGGGTTTGGGCCAAAATTTAAGAACAGTTTTAAGCTCCAACTCCCAGCTCTTTATAATTGACACAAATGAAACATTGCTATTGTCATAACAGTAAGCATAATGTTAAGATAAATTTCTAAATCAGCTATCACTGTTAGGCTACACTTCATAATATGCAGTCACCTGCAATATCAGCCAGATGATCATGCAGATGAAGTAGAAGGCTGAGGATGAGATCTCTTTCTCTGTCGGTCTAGAAGGAAAAAAAAAAGAGCACAGTTTCAGACGGCAACATATTTACAGTGACTCAGCCAGTTTTACTACAATCCTCTTTCAGTGCTAACCTGATGTGTTGAGCCTTTCACAATTAAAAATATGCTACCCACACCAGCATACAAACATTTGAAAGAGAAGAAAAAAAAGTAAGCAATCTGACTTGGACCAAACTTTTCTTTCTTTGTACAAGTGTAGGAGAACAGAGAATACATGGATATTCAATTCTTGATCTCAAATATAACATATTTAGGTTCTAATAATTTTAATTTAAAATGTACTAGATCCTTATCTTTTTTAAATTAACATTGAATTAAAATGTTATTTAACGAATGAGAGATTAATAAGTCTTTTATGAAGAAAATAAAGAGGTCACAAGTATTTACTTACATACGAACTGTCAAACTCTGCACCAAATGGGTGGCTCTTGACTGCAAAAGAAAAAAGCAGAATGAATGCTATTAGAGCAGCAACCACTATAAGCATTTTAAAGTCAGGTAAGTCTAGTGAGAAAATTACATTTTAGCAAATGTAGGACTGCATTTCCCAGTTATGACTGTTGAGGGCAGACAGATGCAGCGGTTGTGAGCATTTGAGTGTCTCATCCTTGCACTACCGTCTGCAAGGGAACATACTAAGCTTCACCCCTCTTAACATCCAAGAATTAGCGCAGCCAGATCTCCCTTGTGTCTCAGTTGGACGCACTAGCTCACTGAACCATGGATGGGGTCAGACAGGAAACAGGACACTGAGGGATGGTAAACTGAAGACGTTTTTGTTGATGAAAGCATATAAAGTACTTGTACAGTATCAGTGTGTTCCTTGAAAGGTGAACAACCACATGAGCCTAACAAAAGCCTAATCAGAGCGCTTCAGTTAGTCCTTCTGAAATATTGTAACACTAGTTGGAGCATTTCTGAAAGGGATTTTGCAACACTCATGACAAAAAGAATTCTGGAGAGCTGAGCACTCGCTTACGCATCACACAGTCTGACTTCTTCCTTTAATTGAAATAAAATAATCTTAAAAATAGGAAGGCATCAGGAAATTAGCATTGGTATTGGATCAGTATTTCATATCGACGACTATCCTGACCTTGGGTGTCATGGAATAAGTACTAAGAGAGGAAAAAGTGGGATCAGTGCATCCCTAAACAAAGCCACATCTAATAATTAGGACGTGACCCATATATCAGTTGGCCAGTATTGACAATCTGCAGTTTTGGCAAAAATATCCAACAATTAGCGACTTTTTTAGTCACTATATCAATAAACAGTGAGTTTTTAAGCCTCTTAAAGTTGACTCTGGCCATAAAAATTCATATTAGTCAGGCCCTACTATTAATAAGGACACCATACAGCAACCTAATGTAAGTGCCGCTGGACACTGTCAGGCTGCCAGCCAGCAGAGTCAATCACTCTAGCTTTGGCCGTAGGCTTCCCAGGTCCCTTGAGAGACGAACAATTAGGCCGCTTTAGCTCGTCTGTGACCTAGATGTCTGCCACTCGCTCTTCACTCAAAGCTCCCTCCCAGAGAGCCTCCATGGGCACACCACACGCTCAGGCTTTCGTAATACACCCACTGGGTCCTTCTGCCATGGTGAAACCAGACAGAAAACACGGGCTACTTTATCAAAAACTGAAACTTTGGACAATTCAACTGTCCAATTTGCCTCCAGCTAATCACAGTGGTGTGATAAGTAGTCTACTACTATCTTTCACATTAAGAATACAACTGAGAAGACATTACCTGCTACACGGTACAACTGAACTTGAATGTAAATTCTCTGGCCATCAGCTGCAAGGTAGTGTCGTATGCCAGCAAAGCTAAAGACTGTTATTGTCCAGTCTAACTGCAGGCAACCTAGCTTCATGATGCAGAGAACGGCATCACACACTAATAGAAAGAACGTTTTTTTTGCCTGTGTAGCCACAGAACTGTCCTGAAGTGAAGTACACAGCAAACACAGTTATTTAATGGTGAGAAAAAGCACATATCCAACCCATAAAGAATAAGTCTGGTATGCTCAGAGATCAAGCAGGGTTGATAGCACACAATTACACTACACTGAGTAACTGACTCATTTTGCTTCTTTCAAACTTTTCATTACTGCAGCACTGTGGTAGGTGAACACGGAGCGCCTACAATGAGACCGAGTCATACAGACAAGCAGACAAGAGGTGGAACACACACATTCCAGTGCCTTCAAGGGTGTATCACTCCTGTTTGGATGTTAATGCCACCCCCCCCCACCCCCCTCAACTGGGCAAAAGTGGCATATTCTGTTTCCTGTCTGAAGGTGCGAACACCTCAGGGTGACAAGTGGTAACGCATGCGTCTGACACGTATGACTGAGATAGTAAACGCAGCCATTTGAAGGATCTTAAGGAATATGCCATGTCATTTTTAGTCATAAACAATTTCAGCAATTTCATTTTTCCACATTTTGGTCTGAATGAGATGAGGTCACTCATTTAAAACACCATGCATGGATCTACATGATAAACTTATGCAGAAGTACAAAACAAGTTACAGACCCTGACTCATAAACATGCCTTAAAAGCAGTCTGAACCTCAAACCTCAAGGTCCTCAGCAACAATTACAGAACCTATTTTATAGGATGCCGAATCAGCAAATATATAAATCTGAATGAAGCAGTGGACATAAATCCAACAAAATTAAAAGGTATCATAACCCTTTTAACTCAAAGCAAGCAACGTGGTTTTATTTATATACATAGATTTTGTGTAGTCTTGGATTAAACTGCACTGCCAGTGATGTTCCACCATAAAGAGCCAGTTTCCCAGACCGAGACTAAGCCTAAACCTAAACTAGAACCTGCACTAAAAACAATTTCCAAATGTGCTTCACCAAATGCACCACAATTTAGTCCAACACTAGTATAAATCCATGCCTGGGAAATTCAGTCTAGTGTAAGCTTAAGCTTAATATGGCTCTAGAAAATCGGACTCTTTCAACGAGTTAACTGATACTTGGATTCTCAACTTCTTAGCATGCTCCAGATCAGAAAGATGAGTTTCTAAACTGACTGTTCACACATACGGCTGTCTTGACAACGAATTATAGACGAACCCAGGATACTTACTAACGACTCCCTCCGTGGAGCCGGAGCCCCGCATTCTCAGGTACATGAGACCGAGAAGCACGAAGAAGAGGCAGGCAGCGGTCAGGAGGAACATGGACAGATAATGTGCACTGAAGCCGCCGGTGCCTGACACCTCCTCTCTCCGAAACTGCTCCAGGAGCTCATCCTCGGGGGCCGGCTGCTTGCGTTTAGTGCCGGCCTGACCGTAGCTGTGGTTCGAGCCGGTATGGTTTGAGTGGTTGGGTCGATAGGTCGTAGAGAGGCTGTTATAGGAGGAGGAGAACCGGGGTCTGAGGCCGAGGCTAAACGTGCTACTACCGCCGGCGGCTGCGCCCTCTCCGCCGTCTACGTGGTTCTTGGGGCTGCTGCTGCTACCCATGTCCCCGCCATTCTCACCCATTACGCCAGAGCTGAAGCGAAAGGTATTCGTATAGATGCGGTTCAGGTCGGACGCGCCTAGTTCATCGCGCTCCGTGCTCCTTCTCCTCGGGCTTCCTTCCTCCTCTTCCTCCTCCTCCGGTTCCCTGCCACTTTTGGACGGAGACGGGGAGGCTTTCGATAAGCTTCGCCTGGACAGCAGACGACGTTCGCGTTGGCGTTCACGCTCCTCCAACTCCTCCTCCTCCTCCTCCTCTTCGTCCGTGTCTGAGTAATCCCCTGCTAGCTTGCTGCTATTGAGCGAGTAAGGCGCCCTGTTCCCGTTTAAAGCCCGGCTGCTCCTCTCGAAAGTCTCTTCTTCAAAGTTGTTTTCCTTCCTCAGCTCAACGTAATCCCTATCCCCCGCCAGGCTGGAGCCCCCTAAGCTCGCCTTACCCCGGTCTGCCCACCACGGGGACGACCCGAGGCCGCTTCTCCGACCCTCCAAAAGCCCAACAGGCGACTTGCTGGGGCCGCTCGCACTGACTCCAGCGCCGCTTTCTTGTGGAGGCCTTAGCGACTGCAGCCCCAGCCCGGAGCCTCGGTCTCTCCTAGAGCCGCTGTGGTTCAGGCCTGCTTTGTGCTGAGGCAGTTCTGCGTCCGACTCGTCCGAGCTGAAGCCCAATACAAACTTTCCGGCCCTGTCCGGACGCTTTGCGTTCAGAAGCTGGCGGCCGCCGGCCGGCCTGGCGCGCACAGCCGCGGCTCCCGCCGCTGGGTGGCCGTTACCGCCGCCGCCGCCACCGCTGTTGTTGTTGTTGATGCTAATGCTGCTACCACCGCCGCCACTGCTGCGTCCCTTGGCTCCCCTGGACCGCTGCTGCTGCTCCTCGCGTAGTTTTTTCAGCTTTTTCAAGTACACAGGCCGGGTGTTCTCCGTGACCGGACCCGGTGTGAATCCCAAGCGTTTTAACTCGGAGAAAAGCTCCTCGTCCGTTAGCTGCGCCGCCGCCATCTTCGCACCGAACTCACACAGAGAGCGCTGCAGGAAGTGACGCAAGAGCAGCCAGTGAAGTTGGAGAGGAAAAAAAGTTCAGCGGAGTCAAAACACTCAGACTTCAATGGCTAATGTTTTATCCGTAAAATCACAGTTATTTCAGGAGAAATAGTGTTAGGTCATGATCCTGGCACATTTTCACTGTTTTAAAGAGAGTAGTGAAATGTAGGCGAATATCGTACAAGGACAATATGAAGCACAATAACATTTTAAATTAAAAATATTTCAACCGATACGCATCTTTAGTTTAACACGTTTTTATAAAAAAGTTTTTCCCCCAATGTTTTAATTAATGGTTCCAAAATATAATTTAATTACTGGAACCGTTAATCACACCAACTGAAATACTTGAGGCAAATCTTTGTGTTATAAATTACTACCATTTCAGCCGAAATATCTCTGTTGTTTGTGTAATTTAGTCATGTTAGATCACCAACTGGCACGTTTTCGATGATTTTGTTTTTGACGGTTTTAATTAATGGACTCAAAGTGCCTCATCCAGACTAAGCGTTAGAACTACACATTACTGGAAATAATTACAATCAAAGTAATTCAATTAAAACAATTTCAAACAAAATGCCTCTGATGTGTCTTTGTTCCCTGTTAAGCACGTTTTGGTGAAATATTTTTCAAAACCTAATTGGCGGGTTTAATATGCGATTGTTTTAATTTAACTAATTTAAATAAAAGTCAAAACATTCTGTTTAGGTTGATCACCAACTGACACGTTTGTGATGAAATAACGTTTCCTTGTTTTAATTCACGAGCTCTAAGTTTAGTCAAAAAAGATATTTAACACACACTGCACACTGTACAGAAACGAATGAAGATCAATTGCCACAACATACCCAAGGGAAAAACTTAATGCCGCGTCCCAAACCACACACTGCCACACTAATTAGTATGTTAAACATAGTACTCCACCATTAGAAGTCCATTCATGAGAGCAGTGTGTAGTATAGCAGTGCGCGGTTTTGGACGCAGCCTAATTCAGCGGTTACGCTGATCTGGTCCTCTTTGGCTCATGACGCCACCGTGTGGCGGATGCTCAGTATTGCAGGTCCCGGCGGCTACAAGTAGCCTGCGAAGCAGCGCAGACGTTTCAGTCTGTCAATCTGAGACGCAGAGGCGATACATTTAAAGCCGGGATTTCAGCACGAGGAGCGAGGCTTTAAGTTCAGCACTTCACAGAGCATCAGCTGAGGGACAGTGCGGAATGGATCTCAGGACGCCCGTTTTTCAGTCGTATTTTAAAACTTATTTTTTTCTGCTTTTGGGGGGTTTGTCAGTTGGAGCTGCCCCCGAGCAGGGGAGCCTGTACATGTGGATTGATGCCAACCAAGCCAGGATATTAATAGGTAAACAGTGCTGCATGATGCTGTGGCAGAGCTTTGGGGGTAGCAGCATCTTAGACTTTATTTTGGGGGGAAAAAAACTTTAAACTTTGAGTCTCACTAGCTCATGCAGGTGGAAGTGGTTTGAGTTTGAGGAGAGGCTCTGAGTGCTGGCATGCTTCTTCTCTCCACAGGTTTCGAGGAGGATATTCTGATTGTGTCAGAGGGCCAAATGGCCCCATTCACACACGACTTCAAGAAAGCCCAGCAGCGTATGCCCGCCATACCTGTCCACATCCACCACGTGAACTTCACCTGGCAGGTCACTGATGATCAGGTAGGAACAAGACACAGTGCATCAATCTAAATCTAGAATAATGAATTTGGCCGAGTTTTGTTTGAAAAATATGAGTTATCAGTTGGAGCATTTAAAAAGAGTACCAGTTGTATGTTGTTATTAAATTGGAACATTTTAAAGGGCCCATATCGTGAAAACCAAAATTTCCTACTCTTTTTTAAAATAAAAGAGTTTGATGTAGTATGTAAACATTGTTAAAGTTTTAAAACTGCGATATTTGGAAAATGAACTGCAAAAACACCATGTTTGAGTTCTCTGTTTTTATGACGTCATGATTTTCTAAGTAAAAATAAGTTCACATCCTGTACAAGCAGCCGGGCAAACTTCAATTTTCCTGCAATATTTAGTGCACAGTTTCTATGTGTTTGCTGAGTTTAGCATATTGGAAAAACACAAAATGTAAACATAAAATGTGCCATAACTTTTGCACAGGCCACATCTTATGTTTTTTTTTTCTTAATATGTTAAATTAAGCTAATTAACAGTAATTGTGCTTTAAACTGTGCAGAAATGTGTTCTCTGTAGAGGATGTGTTAAATTATTTTCCCATAGAAAATCAACAGAATGTGTAATTTGACCAGGGGTGCCCAAACATTTGCACACAATGTTTATATCTGCCTACTCAGCCTAGAGCAGTTTAGCTCTGCCCACTCAGGCTGAAGTTATAAGGAGTGTTTCAGCCTGGACTGCTTTCTGAATGAGTTGCAATACAAGGCAGCCAATCAGAACAAACCTCATGTACATATATCAGTCTTAAAGACACAGTAAGCAAAACAGTCTGTTTAATTCTGAGTCATAAAGAGAGGTTGGAAAATGTTTATAGATAAATTAATTATGATTGTTTTTGGTACATAAAATCATACGTCATATGTCATAAGTAGAAATAAGCTATTTAAAATAAATAATATAATAATATTTAAAATAACAAACATCATAATAAATTAGCACATTTACAATAGAATTAAAGCACATACTGACTTAGGAGTCAGTAAATAAATAAATAAAAAATGTAATAAACAATACATTTTATATGAACAACACATTTAAATATTTTTAAAGTTTAATATAAGTAATGAATGAATATGGAGTGAAAAAAAGATTAATCATAAGCAATAAGCTGCTTATATCTTTTCTGAAGTTGTGTTTTGATATGAACCGCTGAAAGCTGAGCAGTGACCTGTTGAAGGCCGGTCTTTTTCTGGTGCTATTGTAGCGTCCATGTCCTGCGGTATTTTACATGTTGGTGTGGTGGAGCTGCCTCCTCGGATCAAAGAATCTGCACGCATGTGCCAAACATCTGGGCCATCAGCCCACTGAAACATGCCTCCACTCTCTCTCACACATACGCAGGCCTCAGGACATGCTTTAAGGAGCTGGAGCTCCATTTGGAATGGGTTTGGGCCCTGTGCACGTTTGATCCTCTCTGCTATCCATCACCGCTTTGGTAATAAGCAGTGGCTAAAATGACCTTTCCCTCCACTCAGGAACTTCATCATTAACTGTGTTTACCGGCCGAGTGAGGGTTAAAAGGAACAGAGCTACAGCAGCAGTGGGGTCATACCTCCGTGTTGAAATGACCATTAGCCTTTTCTCATTTCATTTGAGAAGATGGTAAACTTGTAAATGGCAGTGTGTTAATAATGTACAGTACTGTGCAGAAGTCAGAGACCACACTTTATTTATTTAATTTCCAAGTTAATTCATTTTTCAGGAGAGATATTAGAGATTAAATATCCACTTGCATGAGGAAGAAGAAAGTCAAAGGAAAATGAGTGGAAAAAAGCAAGAGTTTCCAAAACTGAAGTTCAAAAACTGATTAAAAGATACAGAGAAATTTGGACTTGTAAGGCCAAAACTATCAGATAAACAGAGTGAGAGCAGAGAAAATCAAGCTCCACTCTTACTTTAGAGCTGAAAAATCCTCAGTTGATCCAGTGTGCGAAGACATCTTAACGCTGTGAGTCTGAAAGCATGTGTAGCTGCCCAGAAGCCGTTACAGTGAAAAGGAGACAGAAAAATAGGAAAATTTGTAAATTAAACAAAGAAGCTGCTGGTGTTCTCAGAACAATAGACTGACCACCTCAGAGTCCAGACCTCAACATCACTGAATGTGTTTGTAATTATTTGGATGGTGAGAAGCAGAAAATGCAACCAACTTCTAAGACTGAACTTTGGAGGTGTGAAAAATATCCCAACAACGGAAAGCAAGTCTCTTGAAAAGATTATATATATTATATTATATATATTTCTATTAAATGTTTCCTGACATTCCTCGAAAAATAACAAAAGGTACTTAGTGGCTCTTCGAAAGGAAATCAAATACATAAAAGGGTGTCTCTGTCTTTTTCACAATACTGTATCTGACTGAATCACACTGAATTAGTAGTTATTAGTATTTATTAATTAAATGCATATATTAATTAATAAATAGGGTACTGTATGTATTACAAAAGTTCTTTTGGATTATCCCTATATTGTGGCAACTTGAGAGTTTGGTCACAAAATGTGCCTTTGGCTAAGTGTGTTGTGTTGATTGGCACCTAGGTCTGACTGAGGGAGGGGTCTTGACTTTTAGCATAATCAAATTTACAGTGTGATGTCACAGTTTCAGCTGGTATTATCTCTCAGATATGATGTCATTCAACCCATTAAGACTATTAAAGTACCTTCAGTAGTTTCATGGGACTTCTATATTTGCATTCTGTTGACATGTACTTAAAAACAGATGCATGCAAAAGTTTTGGCACACCAGTCAAATGATATGTTTTTGTAGATGTTCTGAAAGTGAAAGCTTATGTAAAATGTTGCCTGTGCAAAAGTTATGGCACATTTTATATTTTGTATTTTTTCAATATGTTAAACTTAGCAAATAAACAGAAATTGTGCCCAAAGATTTGCAGAAAAAAATGTCATATTGAAGTTCCCTGTAGAGGATGCTTAATTTCACTTAGAAAACCAACAAATATATACTAAACTTTTGCATACACCTGCAGCTCAAATAAATTTTGCCAAATAAATTTGAGTGGCCCAACAGTCCTTACACCAAAAAACATTGTATGAAATTAATTTAATTATGCCAATTAAAAGTAGTGGAGTCAGCATGGACAGACTTTATTGCATCATAACATGCAATAGCAATTCATCGCTCCAGTTTGTAAAACACCCTGTTGGTTCGTTTTCTGAGTGTGGAAAGTATAACAGAAAAAAGTGCATGTTTCATATCAGAGTTTGCGTTTTGTTTTCAGCTCATCTGCTGGATCTTGCTTTCACAAACGATGTGTCCATGCACATTGAGATCATAATCCACAAATGGCATGTCGAGAGAGAAGTGGGGTTAAAGAGAGAAAAAGAGAGGTACAGAACAAAGAAAGAGGTACAGAAAGAGGAGAGAGAGAGAGGGAGAGAGAGGGCCCACTCTTTCCACAGCTCTGTTACTCCACACTTCAAAGCCTGCCGCCGAGGCTTAAGAACAAAAGCCTTAGGCATAAAAGGCTGGCGGCGAGAGTTATCTGTGTTGGTTATTACCATTCAGCAGTAGGATTAGCAGAGCTCTCCACACAGCCTGTGTGTTTTTCCCTTCATCAAACGCTGCCGTGCTACAGAAATCTAGAGAGGAGAAAAGGAAGAGAGAGGGAGAGAAAATGCTGTACGTCCCTCGCTTTCATCTCCTTTTGGGACATTTTTTGTGGTGTGTGTGTTTTGCAGTGCTGTCACAGCCCTTCCGAAAAGGATGTAATTTTCAAAGGTTGGAGAGCATTATTTAGGGAGGAAAGCCTTGTTCCCTTTTGGAGCAAATAAACCGATTCACAAACACGCACACAAACCTAAGAGGTCCCATTCACTCCTCACAGATATATGTGTCTCCTCTGTTGGGATGATTTACACAGCGTAATCGAATTTACGAATCCGTGGCCTCTCTTTTCAGAGCGCCTCCACTGGCCCCAAACGCCCTCCTTCAGCGGCAGGGCTCCAGAGGCCCACGCTTCAACTACAGAGGCTTTCCGAACTTTTGTTATTTAAAAAAGCTGAAAGGTCAAAGACAACGTCTCTTTCCACCGCAGGCCGAGTACTTCTACGAGTTCCAGTCTCTACGCTCATTCGACAAGGACATCATGGATGACCCCATCGTCAACGTCCCCCTGTTGGGATCTGTACCACACAAACCTTCAGGTGAATGATCACTAGCTGATGACTTGGCACACTGCATTATATATGACTCTTTTTAATTCCATGGCAAGTTTTTATGTTTGTGATGTAGATACTTTAAGCAGCATCAGCACGTTTGAGCTCCTCTGGTCAAAAGACATGTTTTGTTGATCTTGTAAGTGAGGAAACGTTTACACATCCTCTACAGAGAACACACTTCTGCACATTTTAATGCACAAGTACTGTTTATTAGTAGAATTTAACATATTGGGAACAAACATAAAATGTGGCCTGTGCAAAAGTTATGGCACATTTTGTATTTTATATTTGTTTTTTTTTCTCAACATAAAAAATTTAAATTGTGCAATAAAATATGCCATATTTAGGTTCACTGTAGGGCGTGTGTTGACTTACTTTCTCTCAATCAACAAAAGTCAACAAAAGATGTCATTTGACCAGGGTGTTCAAACTTTTGCATACAGCTGTAGGTACTACAGTGTTGGCCATGCTGTGAAGAAATCTCTGCTTACATAATTGGCCTAACCATGCAGCACTACAAATGCATTCTTTTGTAACAACTGTTACAAGTTTGGGAAAGCTTTACTGAAGGTTTGCAAGATCATAAAGGCTTTACAGAAGGTTGGCAAAATCCCAATCCACCTAATAAATTTAGGTTCACTGCATAAAGTTGCTATGCTGCAAAGCAAGCTGGATTATGCTGTTGTTGCTAAGTGAAATTAAGTGGGTTTGAAATGACAACAGCTTGGGCTACCATGCTGATGTTAGTTCAATTATATGACATAAAACTACACCTGATCTATCCCAACAGTGTGACCTTTCACACACATTCATGTAAAATGAATAACTCACTCAAAATGTCTATGCTTTGGCTGTATATTCCTGCCTGCTTTCATATGCAAGCTAATACAGTGAATGGGTGTGTATGCTCAGTGGTTCAGGTAGGCTTCCCCTGCCGAGGTGACCAGGATGGGGTTGCTGCATTCGAAGTCACCATCTTGGTGATGGACAGCGGTGGAAACATCATTCTGAGGACCCCACACAATGCCATCTTCTTCAAGACCTGCCAGAGAGGTTAGATCCTGCATGCCTCCTACTTACACATCTGTCCCAGTTACACATCTGCTTCGAATGTTTAAAAGCATTTCTCAACCTAGTGTCTGTCTGCTGCATCTGTAGAATGTGGTCATTTACCACAGACAGTACTTTAGACACGTTCTCCTGAACTAACTGCTGAAGCAACTGATGATTGGCCTCTAATAAAAGTGTGATTTTAAACGGGTATTGTTTTCTATGAACAGGTAAACATGTTGAAATTACTGTCCCTGGTAATCAATCTTATGATACGGACGAGGAATTAGGATAGGGATTAAGTTGAAAAATGCTGAAGTATTCCCCAGTGATTCACATTAGTATTATTTGTTTTGTTTGTTTTGTTCGCAATTAAACATGAACATTTGAGGCTTATAAAACACTCTATGTTTTAATTGAAGCTTGTATTAACATATATTTAACTTCGTAGCAGTTTTACACTGATTCTCATAGAGCACTGACATAGAGCTGCTGCTGTTTTCCCCCTGACTGAAACCCATTGGTTTGAGGCTACCATTTGTATTTACAGTCAGTGATATACCTAGAATGCCCAGAAGGCCTAGAGTGGTGTTTTTTTTCATCAAAAACCCACTGTAAATCAAAATATGAAAGATTGATTCCATTATCTGGTCAGTCTCGCATGTTAGGACTTCAGTTAAGCTGCTGGAGTCCTAATCCAGATAGATTTTCTGTTGGGTGTTTAACCTTTTTGTTCCCAATCAAATCTTAACCAGAGTTTTACTACAAAACTTAGAGTTTTAATACAACAAGCATGAAAATTATATCAAGCAAAAATGAATTAAGAATTACAGATGTTTTTTTTTTTTTACAGCAATTATTAAGCTTTCTCTGAAGGCCTAGAAGGCCCCCAGAGCTGCTTACTGCCCTTTATATTTTGTGAATACTTCAAGACAATTTGACCAAACAAAAAAAAAAATAAGATGATGTTTGATGAAGTTTTTTTTCTCTTATGATGTTACCCCAAAGTTTTACTTCACTGTATTACCAGCAAGAAAAAGCTGGTAATAAAAGTTGCTCTAGTGAGTTATAACGAACAGTTTTTCTGTTGAAAGTGGCGTGTTGTGTCTTTGAGATCCTGTTCTGAGCTACTATGTCAGTGAATCTGTGTGTTGTCATGTGGGAACTTGTATCTGGACGAAAGGCACACTGGGGGAAACCTCAGGGCCTTTGGGGCCCAAAGCAGAAGCCTGTGTTCTTTGCCTGATGACAGACAACTGAAGTTGTGGTCTGAGGTTTCAAGCCTAAGTATAAGCAGTCAATAAATCTTCCTTTGTCAGAATGGTGCTAATTTAAGCACAAGCTAATGTGTGGTTTGTCTTGATGGAAAGACATGAGGAAGAGTATGGACTGCTGTTTTTTCTGCTGAAAAGCGAGCTTGGGTCAAGCAGTAAAGAAACATGTTACGTCTCATCTAGAACATGTTTGAGAAGAGAGATATGATACGGGTTCCACTGCATTTCATGCACAAAGGCCATCGCTGGCCCATGATGTCATGTGAAATCTACCAGCTGCAGCCCATGAGAATGAGAGAGAGCAGTACCCCCAACATACACACACACACACACACACACACACACACACACACACACACCTAGTGCTGCATTCCTTACACACCCCCTTCCTCACAGACACCACAGATCAAATGGTCCATCTGGCTGAAGTCTCTCAATAGGGAGGAAGCAGCACGTTCCCCAGTGACAGCTGAAGGTGCCCTAATGATCAAAACACAGGAGAACACACAGCAGTCGTTGTGAGCCGCACTTGTGGCCTGAATCTCTGTCCTCTTATGTAAAACTGACCAAAGATGTAACCACACACTGCTTCACATTCTCCCTGTATAGGGTGACATGAACCATTTGTATATGTTCTTATACTCTATACTATGTACTTCTCTCCCTAGAACCTGGATTTTTGAAGGGCAACATCACCTCAAATTGAACATCATGGACTAAGCACAACAGACAAATTGCCATGCAGTAACTCACATTGTTGAAATGTGCCGAACTTAGCAGTTAGCTTACACTACACTCTTACAAGTAAAGATTCCAGAAAGGGCTCTTTGCTTAATATCATACAAGAACTATTTTAGTTACCCGAAGAACCTTTCAATGAGTAGACCATGTTTATTTGTAGCAAAAGATTTCAAAATGCACTTGTCATGTTCTGGTCACATGGAAGAGTAAGACCATTGCTAAATAACGCTGTTTACTGCAAGGTGAGAATTTCCAACTGCGTATAAACATACAGTGCTTGCTGCTGTGTTACTGCACCCATTATTGGGAAGAGCTTATGTTGTTTTTGTAAGACCCATGATATGTTTTGAATGCATTTTCTGCTTTCTGGAGTGATGTCCTTGCTACATTTACATTAACTACTTTTGGTCTTGGATCTCACTTGTGCAAGCTTGTTGCAGCGATAGGTATCAGTCAGTCACTCGGCCAGTCAGTGACTCAGAAAGAAGCAGTTACTTATGTAGGCTGACCTACTGGGTGGTCCAGCAAAAATGCGAAGACATATAAAAATACATGTTCTCTTTTTGGCTGATGGAATGAAGGGTTGGGCAACTTCTGATGGGCCAAATCAAGTGTCCTTGAGGTTAGTCTTTTGTTAGTATAGAGTTACTATTGACATTTTGCTACACTTTTGATTTACATTACACACTTATTTACAGTACCAGTCAGACTTTTGCACACATCTGATTGTTCTACATAACCTTAAAGATATTTTGATCTAAAGGCTTATGCTTAAAAGTTAAAGAGGTGTTTTTAAGGCAAATGTAAATATTCAGATGAATGCCTATGTATGAATTTATGTCTAGAACAATAACATGTTTTGAAACAAGTCATTTTCATTTAGGGCTTTAGTGAAATTTAGAGTGGGAAAATGTAGACAGAAGCAAAAAAATTAGGTGTGGTGGTTTTGACTGGTACTATAAATGTAATTGCATGGTTACATAATTAATTACATAGTTAATAATCACATTCTGTATTGACAGTTTCAAGCCTCAGCTTTCTTGACAATTGTTTCAAAGTCAAGACATAACCAAACCTAAAGTGTGGCATTTCATCCCGCGAAACACTGACTGTACTCATAGCAATAACTTTTCGTCAAATTCAAATCATAATAAAATTTCTCCGCTTCTACTTGTAAACACAGTTGTAGTATCAATTAAAATTTCAGAAATAGTACTTTCAGCAGAATTTCTTAGCTTGTTTCAATGACCTACAAGAGAGAAATAATTCCCTTCAAATAACAGCATGCTTTTTTATCATGGGCAATAACTGTTGCCTCTAAGGGTTAAAGCTGTGGTCTGTTGAAGTGTATTATGGCTGTGGAGACTGAGTCAATGTCGTGTGGAAAAGAACTCCCAGAGGACTCAGACAGGATTTGTTCCTGAAGAAGATGAGACAAATACGCCGGCTCGTTCTATGTCCGTTTTGTTTCTGTAGCAGGAGGTCGAGAGCTGGTGCCAGGTTCCCCTTAGGGCAGCTGGTCAACTGTTGCGAATATTCCAGACACCGCTATTGCTTGTAGACAGAGAGGAAATTGTTTTTAAAACACGTCTGGAAGCTACACTTGTTTCCATGGAATGAGCCTTTAATGTGACTGGACCACATGGCCTTCAGAGAGAAGCGTATGAATTAGAATAAAACCCTTGCTAGACCACGGCCGTCCAAATTGAAAGGGCCGTATGAGACGTGACGTGTTTGACAGACTTGATGACACTGTGGCTTCACCTCAAAGCCTTTATATTTATTTCAGATGCTGCCATTCAGTGCTTTTGAGGGCAAGCCTATTATTGAATTCAGTTGCCTTTTGCCACACTGTTTAGGAATGTGGCAGGCCTTGAAGTGGTGTAGGAAGGAAGTTGGGAGTGAAGTGGCTGAAGAACAGGAGAAGAGCTCTCATCATGTCTTTTTTCATTCTTCTCTCTCTCTGAAGCGAAGTGTCCTGGCGGCTGCAGGAATGGAGGATACTGCAACGAGAGACATGTCTGCGAGTGTCAGGACGGTTTCTATGGCACACACTGTGAAAAAGGTAACGCTGCCTGTCATACAGACATCTGTTGTGCAAAAACAAACCCTCAAAATGTGACTTTTCAGTGACAACCCATGCAGAAATCTGATATTTGGCTATATATGTCCCTATATTACACAGAGGTAGATGTGTATATGTGTATAACGTACATGTCTATAGGACATGTATACACGTTCATGATACAAATAATGGTAAATGCTAAGTTTTGTCTAAATATATGCACAATACATTTTAACTATGACACATGGTGTTGGGGCGAACCCGTGAGGAATAAAAGTGTGGAGGTGCTGTATCTCTTCACACTGCTTGTGTGTGTGTGAGGGTGGCCAACATGAACAGGCTGCTGACTGGCTACAGCTGCTAAAGGAGAACCCTACACTGGCCATTTGTGATATTTTAAACATCTGGTATTTTTACATAAATTGTTATGGCTGTACTGATTAAAAAAAAAAAAAGTAATGCAGTGGGTATACCAGACCACTGAGTAACAACACCATGAACACCACACAAGGGTTAAATTTTATTGGAAAAAAATACATATATTGGAAAAAACTCTTTACAAGTTGCTAAAAAGTTATGTACATGTATCTATATTTGTTAAAGTATTGGTAATTATTAAGTAATTACTGTATAAATTCCCATGCATGCACATATGGTGAACCACATATATAATATTTGACAAACCTCCGAAAATTCCAAAATTCCAAATATGTAAAAAAAAAAATGTAGAAAACAGGGATTAACAAATTCTATTTGACCTTTATTAAGTTGAAAACTTAATATTTAATGCTTTACCTTATGACTTTTTTGTCTTGATGAAATTTGATGCCTGTAGCACATTCCGCATAAGTTTGGACACCAGCATCTGGATGGTCCTTTTCTCTTTGCCCTGGATTTCAAGATGAAATACCTAAAATCTTGGCAAACACTCACTAAGAACACTGGGCCTCATTCACCAACTGTTCTTAAGAAGAAATTTCTTCTTAAAACTCACTTGCGCAGTTTTCACAAAGATTCCGACACTCACCAGTGTTTTCTTATTTGGGATTTGTTCTTAGATGAGAACAGAATCTGCAGTGTAAACAATTCTGTGGTTTAAGAACATGCCATTAATCTGACGTAGACTTTTTCTTAGGATCTTTCTCAAGAACAAATTTAAGAAAAACTTGATGATATTCATGAACGAGGCCCATTGTTCTTAAATTGTTGGTTTATTCGCTGATGACTCAACCCATCTTTGCTCATAAAGGACTAGGCCTTTCCTGAATACTCCTTTTATACACAAGCATGATTGTATCACCTGTTTAAGATGTGTTTTTTTTTAACATTTCACAACGTTCCTAGTCCTAAATTGCCCCGTTCCAACTTTTTAGAACATGTTTCTGGTATCAGTTTCAGAATGAGTGTATATTTCCAAACAAAGCTGAAAAGGTAAAATATTAAATATCTTGTATTGTCTTCACTCAAAGACCACATATCAAAGTTGATTTACAAAGTATTAATTTCTGTTTTTATTTGCATATTATGTACTGTCCCAAATTTTCTGGAATTGAGATTTGTATATTCATATACAGTATATATCATGTATGTCCTATAAACTGTTATAGCTGGCCAGTGTCCAAGCGTGTACCTCAATCTAGATATTCAATCTACATTTTTTCATAAAATCAAAGACTTTTCGTCTACATTATGGCCACAGGGGGTGCATTCACCAGACATAAACCTTTAAGCAATATAAGTCAGAAACCAGATGAGATACAAAAATTTATGGAAAACATATTCTGCAAGAAGGTGGAAGGTTAAGTCTCCTTTATTAACAAATAAATCTAGTTGATCATTACAGTGATTATGCCTTGTCAGTGCACAGCACTTTCCAAAACATCTTGTGCAAATTACAATGCATGCTAAAGCCTGCTAGACATTACCAGGGGAGATGGAAGAACAAATATATATCAGAGTTTTTGCAGTCTGAAAAAAAGTAATTATTGTGCAGCAGGTTGGGTGGCAAAGCCATGTGTTTTTCATCAGTTTGCAGCTTTGGAGAAAGAGGTTTTGCCAGAAACAGCTGAAAATGTTACGTCTTTATAGGTCTGAAATGGCTAAAACTTACATTATCTGAACATATTCAAACTTATTTGGATTGGATTTAGCTGATTACTTTGCCTTAACTATGTTACTATTGAGAGGGACTTTGCTGATGTATCGTAAAAGACCTGACTATTTTCAGTACAAATGGTACATTAATCCATGAAATCAGGACACACACAATAGTCTAGGCATTTTTGCTAATGAAAAGTACACAGTGATATAAAGTTGTGTCCTTCTTTCAGCTCTGTGTTCACCAAGATGCCTGAACGGTGGTCTGTGCATGAGTCCAGGAGTGTGTATTTGTCCCCCTGGCTATTATGGAGCTGGTTGTGAGAAAGGTATGACAGAGTTTCACCCTAAATCCTGCGTGCTCTCCATTTGTTGGAGTTTAGGGCTGCACATTTGGTTCATTTTTTGTTAGTTTTTATAATGATACAGCCTTCAGTTGCATTAACTGCAAATGTCCTGTTTGTTCACAGCAAACTGCAGCACTATATGCTTGAATGGGGGAACTTGTTTCCATCCTGGTAAATGTATTTGCCCCACTGGCTTTGAGGGCAGCCGCTGCGAAATAAGTGAGTACAAACAGTGAGTTCTTATAAATCCATCAGCAGCAACCTGTGAACAGCAAAAACATGAATCACACTACTGTATCATAATGAAATGACACTGCATCGTGTGAGTTTTCAGCACAATATCTAAAAGGATGTAATAAAAATTATAATAATAACAACAATAAGAAGAAGAAAAAGTTTTGCTTATATAGTGCCTTTCTCAGACCTAAGATCACTTTACAGATTAAATGTAATTGAATTAAAATTTAAACATCACAAATGAATGAGTGAAAGTACAACATAGACACCACAACAATAAGAGACTTACATGAACTAGGAATCATAAAAGATATAGAATATATATTATATGAAATAGATGTAAAATAGAAGGTATTTAGAAGGGATGTACGATCAAATTTTCGTTCCAAACATACAATCTGCAGTCTGTTTTTTTGATTTGAGCCGATCTGTATTGCAATTTTATGAGGCACATAATGTGAGTCAAATAAGGGTATTCATGCTGTGTTTCAATGCTGCTGTTACATTTATATTAAAATGTTATAACATAATTATACCTGATTCATTGTGCTAAATAGCCAGTTACATGCAATGGAGCATTTAGATGTTTTATGGTATTTAAAAAGGCAACTGGTTTTTTTTTTTTTTAATGTAAGAATTTAAAATGTCAGGCCCATTAAAGAGCAAAGAATTTTATTTAAGTTGTGACTTTGGCTAATAGAAAGTTCTGGAAGTGTGTTAGTGTGTTTCGTGTGTTCATTTAGCCCCTGTAGTGTGAGCTTTGAAGGCTAATAAAATCCAAAATTAACCATAGGAAAATTTTTTTATCTAATTTGGCCATAAAAATTTATTTTCCTTGCACCCCTAGTATTTAGTATTTAGCATAACATGATGGGAAAGCCTTGTACCTCTATTTTTGTCATTTTTTTGCCATAATTTGAAGGCACCAGCTGCCTTTTACATTGTGTAAAAAATGAATGATAGATTTGATCAGTAGAAATAGTCCAAAATTATTTGGAATAGATCATTTTCCATTATTTTCCATTAAAAGGTAGAACATTTAATCTTTCTCCTTTGGTTCCTATAGTAACTTTATGTAGGAGCTCTATATTTAGGAGTTCTAGATTAAATAATAGTAAGAATCAACCCACTGACTTTAGTATGCACAATATGGTTTTAGATTCTCAGTGGTAATAATTTACAGATATAATGCTTACAGTTCTGAAGCAGCTTTTGTGTCCTTAACATTCAGTGTCCCAATTTAAAGAAAGGGAGAGCTCTTGCATTTGTCACTTAGCTGTGAGGGTCATGTTGCCACCCGTCGTCTTCAGAGCAATTCTTTAAATAAACTTCCTAGCTGAAGTGTGTTCTCACACTGATGGCAAATGGGCCAGCACCTCCATGGGCAAACGTGACATAAAGCAGTTTAACGACAACCACGAGCTCAAAGCTTTGTGCCATTAGTAGTGCTGTTAAGTAGTAATGCCTAGATGTTTTAGGGGTAATTGGAACACAATGGATACAGTAAATTGACTTTAGGTTCGAGTTCCTGTGAAAATACTATGTTCCAAATAATTAATGTTATGTTGATATGTATGTATGATACAGTGCTGTGCAAAAGTTAGAGACCACCCTTCATTTTTTTTAATTTCCCATCCGAACAATCATTAAGCACAAGTTATTCATTTTTCAGGAGAGATTTCTGAAGAGATTAGATATAAAATAATCCACTTGCATTAAAGAAGGAGAAAGTTAAAGGAAACAGGAGTTTCCAAAACTGAAGTTCAAAAATGATTAAAAGATACAGAGAAAATGGGACTCCTAACAACCGTGGAAGACTTGGTAGACCACCAAAACTGTCACGCTCAGATAAAATGTTATGGAATAACTGATGTTTGGGAGGAGAAAATGCCTAAAACCCCTCCTTCTTCCAACTGAATGCCCTAAATATCCATCCTTAATTCCGTCTCCTGTGGCAAAGTTCTTGGAATCCCCACCACCACCCTATCTCCTCCCTACAAGGGGGTCTGGCCTTCTAGTGACAGCCAGAAGCTGCCCAGAACTCCAGCCCATGTTCCCTCCTCTCAATAAGTCTTCCTTCACACTACCACCATGTGTTAAAGACCTGGTCAGAACTTGCAAACAATACTTAAAGCTTTAATCTTTGGGAGAAAATCAAGCTCTACTTTTGTTTCAGATCATCCTTCCACTGTGAGAAGACAACTCAGTGCTATGAGTCTGAAAGGATGGTAGCTGTCAAGAAGCTCTTACCAAGAAAGGAAATAGATAAAGGAGAAGAACATTTGCAAATCAAACAAAGAAGCTGCAGCTGTTCTCAGAACAATGAACTGACCAGACCAGAGTCCTATGGAGCCCTGCTGGTGACATCCTGTATAAATAAAAATAATGCGTGACCACGCTGTATTAATGTGTGGGAACGAGATCCTTATGCAAAGCCATGACTTAGTAAGGCGTGGGAATGAGATCATGCTTTACTAAGTCGTGGCAAAGTATTAGGATCTTATTCCCATACCTTACTATGTCGAGGCCAGGCATTATTTTTATTTATACAGAATGTCACCAGTGGGGCTTCATAGAGTCCAGACCTCAACCTGATTGTGAAGCAGAAAATGCAACCAGCTTCTAAGACTGAACTTTGGAGGTGGAAAAATATTTCTGGCAGATTTCTTTGAAACACTGAAAGTGAGTCTCCTAAAAAGAATGGAAGCTGTAATAGAGGTTTGGGGGCAGTCATGGGCTGGAGGTTAGGGATGCAGCCTTGTGACCAGACGGTCGTTTGATCCCCTGAGCCAACAGTACATGACTGAAGTGCCCTTGAGCAAGGCACCTAACCCCCAGCTGCTCCCTGGGTGCTGTGGATAGGGCTGCCCACTGCTCTGGCCAAGTGTGCTCACTAGTGTGTATGTGGTGTTTCACTGCACAGATGGGTTAAATGCGGAGGTGAATTTTCCCGTTGTGGGACTAATAAGGGTCACTTAACTACCTTAACTTAAGGTAAAGAGGACACACACTAAATACTCAAGAAAATGATCTTATATTTAGTTGTTGAGGCTTCTGTGTAATTTCTGTTAAATATGTTTACTTCTTTTTTCTGACACTTAAAATGATGGTCATTTTTTAAATAAATAAAGGGTGGTCTCTGACTTTTCCACAGCACTGTAGTTCTGATGTGTAATGGTACTAAAGATAAGGCAGATAATGCTTTGGCTAGCAAGGTGTATGTGTAATGCTAAATTATATTGCTTGTAGCTCTTTCTTAATATATATGTTTAGTCTGCTTCTTGTCTGCACACTCCACCTCACCCCTTACATTTCATCCTGTCCTGTCATCGTGTCTCAACACCCCTGCTCAAAGGCAGGATGTTTTCACACTATGAATCATTTCCCATCAAAGGCAACTTCACGTAACTCCCACTACCTGATATGTGAGAGGAAAGACCATTAATACATTAAACCCATATATCTATAGACGCAGACTGAGCTTTGTCCTGGAGTATATGGCCGTTTCCATGGAGTACAGAGTGACGGAGAATTTCCAAGAGTTCACGTGTGTCTAGAAAAGCTGCTCTGAAGAGTTTCAACAGCATGGAGCTCATCCTTCCCCTCTGATCCTCTTTAGGATCAGGTAACGAGCTCTCTGCGCAAACCTGCTTTGATAAAAGGATCCGTGTGAAGATGTGTTTTTATAAAGATATCACCTATTGTCTGTCCACGGATATGGATTTCAACAATGCGTCAAAGCACAAAGGACCCATTGAAATTCAGCAGGTTTCGACTTAAGCAGATCCTCAAGCGTCCATCCACACCCCTGCTCCTGTTTTTCAAATGCATTAGATTTCCCCAAACCCTGTTTCCATTACTTTTTACTTTTATATCACTTTGTTGACTGTTAATTACCTGAGGGCTTTAAAGCCTAAACAGGAGCCATTATTTTCTTTATAAGACACAATGCACAGTTTCCACTATTACTATAGTGATAACTGATGCAAACCAATAAACTGACCTTATTAAATGATTAAATGAACGAATTATCAGCTAGATGTGACCAGTGCACATTCAATACTGTTTCTTAGTCAGGGTCATTATAAAAATGGGTCTCACTTTATTTGGATAGTCCACTACAGCTTATCTACAGATGTACTATCTATTGAAACTGTTGATTTTAAACAGTGGTGGGTTAGGGTTAGGATTTGGACCAGGGTTAGGGCTCGGAACAGGGTGAGGGTTTAGGTTTTGGGTTGAGGTTAAGTTTAGAGCCAGGTTTAGAGTTAAAGAAAATGGTAGTGAATTTAGTAGATATTTAGTTGTATGTATCTTAAAAATAAATTAAGAATCTACACAGCATCTAAAGTGGACCTGTTACATATTCTAGAAGAATATAATTTTAAAAATTGCCTAAGAAGAATGTTGGTGTATGATCATTAGAAAAAAAGTCTGTGTGAAATATTATTTGGGCTGTTTTATTGTTGGCAATGAATTTTGCTAAAGCAGTGAAAGGACCTGTTGTTTACTAGAGATGGCGCCGATCTGATACCAATTATCAACATTAGGCCAATATCAGCAGAAAATGCTGCATCTGATATTGGCGTGAAAAAAAAAACATATCAGATTCAATTGTGGACCAAATTTATCCTAAAACAGCTCTCACTCACACTGACTGATGTGATGAAGATCGCTATGTAGTTCTTCCTGTTGGGTAGACTGTTTAGTAGAGTATTTTGTGCATTATATATGCTCATCTTAAAGGAGAGTTCCACCATTTTTTCAAAAATTTGAAAGTGTTCAATGCTTCTCAATGGGTCCTCATAGAAAGCTATTAGATGACATGCTTATGAATGTGCTACCTGATGAGTGAGATGTTACACATACTATTTCAAACTCATTCATGACAGAGAAGTACATGTAAGGTGTTTTGAGGCAAAACAGTCCCAGAAGACTTAACTTATATTTTCAGGTTTACCACTATTTGACCATTATCAGCATTACATATACAAACCCAGAGGACATATGTAGGTTCACTGAATGTTTGGGTTCCTATCACCACCACTGATAGGAAATCTGAGCCGGTTCTGAGCAGTTCTAAAAACTCAGAAAAATCGGTTCATTTTAAAGCTCAGTAACATTGAAAGTAGAAATATCAGATCAGTATCAGCCAATATTTAAGATTTCAATGCATGTACCATGCCAGCTCAGTTATTTAATGCTGCAACAGGAGACAATATAGAGTCTACATTTACGGCATTTGGCAGACGCCAAATTATCCAGAGCAGCTTACAATGTGATCAGTTTACACAGGTAGGCAAAGGTAGTGTTAGGAGTCTTGCCCAAGGACTCTTATTGGTATAGTGTAGGGGGTGTGCCCAGGCAGGGGATTGAACCCCAGTCCCCAAGGCAGAGGTGTTACCCACTACACTATACCAACCGAAGTCTAAGTTACTGTATAGGACTTTATTTTGCTACAGTGAACAATGAATCAGACTGAATAAGTCAGTATCAGAAGAGAAGAAAGTTGGAGTTGGTGCATCCCTAATAATAACTCCATTATTTTTGCATTTAGTCCTGTGTAATAATCCTTATGATGCAGAGATGCATGAAGTTGAAATGCATCTCCTCATGCCTAATGTGAAATTCTTAATACAGTCACTAACATGCTTTTCAGGTGTTAACATTCAGATGACTGGACTTTACACTGCAGTAAATGTGGAATTGCAAAGAAACTGACTTGAAAGACAAATATTATGCATGTTCTTTGCTTATTATGCAACTTTACACAAACTAGACCAGCCCAGGCTGACTGTTCCATCCTGTCAGTGTGAGGTATGAAGTGTTGTGAGTGACTGTCCTGTTTTGGCCACAGGTAAATGCCGCCAGCCATGCAGAAATGGAGGCAAATGCATGGGGAGGAACAAATGCAAGTGCAGCAAGGGTTACCATGGAGATCTGTGCTCGAAAGGTGAGACTGTACCTCACTATGTTCCCCTACTTTCACACATTTGCTTGTGTATTATTTGTAGGCCTCTTTGAAAAGATCAAACATTCAAGTAAATCATTTATGGCTTCTTATATATAGTACTGTAAAGCTGAGTTTAAGCTTCTTTCACATATATACATACACACATTCAGGGTGTAAAACACATCAGTACATTATGACGTCTGGAGGTGGACAATTGACTGATTATAATTATAATAATATTCAAAAACAGTTTCCTCTTTTGGACAAAACACAATTATTAGGCTGTTTTGTAGCATCTACTCCAAACAGAAATGCTTGATGTATTGCTTTTAATGTCTATGGACCATTCTACACACTGAAAAATGATGGTTCTTCAAAGGTTGTTTTGTAAAGAAAATGGTTCCATATAGAACCATTAACATTCAAAGAATCCTTTCGATGGTTAAAAGGTTCTTTGTTGTGTGCTGTAGATGGTTCTGTATAGAAAGGTGTTCTATATAGCACCAAAAAGGGCTTTTCTATTGTTACAATTTCAGGCCTGTTACAATAGAAGAACCCTTCTTGGTGCTATGCTGAACCCTTTTCAAAATTATTCCATATAGAAACATCTATAGCACATTCTCCATCAATCTGGAGCTGTATGTAGAAGAACATTGACTGGACCAGAGTTGGTTTGGAAGTGAACTGATATCAACCTACTCAGAGGCCCTCAGTCCACTTATTTGGTTGCGTCATTCTCACTCACTCTAAAGAAGCGCGCTAACAACACAACCACACCAGGGTTCATTTTAATTGAACCAAACCTGCCAAGTCTGAACCCATTTTATAGACCCATCGGTCCATAAAATGGCTTCTTGACAGCTACGCATCCTTTCAGACTCATAGTGTTGAGTTGTCTTCTCACAGTGGAAGCATGGACAGAGACAGCTGTGGATTTTCTCCTCTCTCTCAAAGATGAAAGCTTTAAATACTGTTTATCTGATTGGGGCAGTTCTGGTGGTCTGCCAGGTCTTGCATGGTTGTCATGAGTATCTTTTAATCATTAATTACTCCAGTTTTTTTGCTTATTTTCTTTTTCTTATTTTTTTTTCTTGACTTCTTAATGAAGTGGGTTATTTTATATCTCACTCAGAAATATCTCCTTAGCTATTTTAGATGCGCATAAGTAAGAAATTTGCAGCTGGGCTGAGTTTGGGTAGCTCTTTGTGTGCATGTTAGTGTCTGTTTGAAGAGGTATATAATGTCACTGAGCTCTTTGGGAGCAACTTTTGCTGCGAGGACACAGCTTTTTTATAAATCACAAACAACACACACACATATGTGTAGCGTCCCGTCAAAATCTAAACATCTGTCTCTGGTTGCATATGTGTGAATGTATGTGCGTTTGTGCAGCTGTCTGCGAGCCCAGCTGTGGAGCACACGGGACCTGTGTAGAGCCCAACAGGTGCCACTGCCGGGACGGCTGGCACGGACGTCACTGTAATAAGAGTGAGTGAGCAACCCGATCGCACCACAAAGCTGCAGGTCCAACCCATACAAACACACACACTGCTCTGCAGTCCCCCACAGCCACTTTCCCAAGCCCCGGCTACTGATTGGAACTTGTAAACAGATGAGCAAATGTAATCCACTGCAACTCTAGAGCCTGCCTGGGTTCTTCCGGAGGCTCAAGTGAAAAGCAGGAGCAGGATGTTGGGCAGGGCCGCCTCCTCCCCGCAGTGAATGTTTAATTCACTTCTTAGGCAGTGAAGGAAACGCCTCACATTACAGGCTTCATGTAGTTGTTAACTGACAATTGCCTTTGTTCTCTGTACCCTCATTAATTTAATGCCATGCCAGCTTTATGTCTATTTACTGCCCCAATGGGCTCTTAATGAATCTGTATGTTAGAAAATGATAAGGATATTTGTGATAGTTTCATCCACTAACCTGATGAACTTATATAAAGACAAGATAGCCATGGACTGAGAAATCCATCATTCTGTATCAGACTTCTTGTTAAGCATCACAACTACTGTTCTCAAAATTTACATAAAAGACCATTTTCTCTATTTTTTTTGTCCTCTTATAAAGTTTGTGAAAAACTGTCCTAATTCTTTAATACATGGTCATTTTCAAACCTCTGTTTATCCCTTAGAAAAAAAGTATGCTGTGCCTTTAAGATTAATTTATGTAAATAACCCTTTTTTATTGGTTGCCTTGAACTGTGCTTTATTCAAAAAGCATTCTGGGCTGAAATGTGCTAAAAAAACTGATACGTTTGGACTGAACTCCCCAAAGCCTGCTTTAGCAACACTCTGTATAACTTTGGTGTGAATGGGTCGCATGTAAATGCAAACATCGTTGTGATGTCACAAACATGATGACTTCAAAACCAGCATAGTTTACATGTAAAGATTGTGTGGACTGGAAAAAAATAGCACATTCCTAAACTTTAACAATGTTTACTTTGTACAAAACTCTTACATGAAAAGTTTCATCCACTTGAGATAATTAACTTTAAGCATGGGACCCTTTCCCCACCTTCCAACCCTTGTGTGTTCCTTTATTCTCTCAGGGTACCGCAGTGGATTCCCCTTCATCCACCGCCCCACCATCTCCAGGCCTAAGACCCAAGGCACATCAGCGAAGGAAACTAAGGAGGCCTCTGATACTAACCGGCCCTCCGAGACCAACTACGTCGTTTAATCTTCTCACTCGGCCTCCTGGCACTCTCTGCCCGCCCCCTGACCCAGCCTCCCCAGGGACCGCTTCTCATCCTCCCCTTTCAGATCCCCATCACCCTCCCAGGGATCCTCCCTCCTTGGACTTTTATTTTCATAGTCCATTCTCCGTATCCCCTTTCACAGAGTAAACTCCTTTGATAGAGTATCGCCCTGGCTCTCGGCTCTGTCAGGCGCTTCTCCTGTCCTGCAGACGCTGGGAGGGAGGGAGGGAGTCACAGGCTGTTTAGTAATCCAAATTTCACTGGAATTCAGTCTGTGATGTTCGTGAGCAATCCTGAAGCTCAGCTGTAAATGTGGACATGAATCACAAGGAGTTCCATTACAGTCCAGAGGCTCTTTTGTGTGGGTATGACTTGACTGAGGATGGTAATTACTGTCTTCAGCTCATGTTCATGGGTTGGCTCGCCTGTCCTTGTTGGTTTCAACAACATTCACTTTCTCTTCTACATGGGAACAATGAATTGATGGCTGAAGATCTCTCTGAACACGTACCCTTGCATTACGAGACTCTAGAACATTTATTCTGTAGAGTACATGCTATTTGAAATGGAAATATATCTAGATGTTATGTTAAAGTAGGGCAGAAATGCTTTATTTACTCAAAGTTTTGATACTTAGTTTTTAAAGGTATAACAATGCAGATAAGCTGTTTATTACATCATAGACATGAGCAATTAATGGACTGTTATTTTTCATCTGGGTGATATACCACTCGAATAAAACCATCTCATTCATGTGAGGTTGTTTTGTCTTTCTGTGCAGTCAAACCTGGTTTTCTTTAAGTTCTTTGAATGTCAGCCAGAGCATGAGACAGAATGGCTCCCCTGTTTAACAAAAACTCTAAAGAATTAAAAATATATATTAAAAAGGCCAAATCATACTTTTATTTTTTCCTTGCTTTTTATGCCCCCAAAACAGGCATAATTAATTTTCCCAACCGCTCTTTATTCCTTAGAATTACATGGGCTTTTTTTGTTACTGTGCCTTTAAGACTGATAGATTGATGTGTATGTAGGTATATACAAATATATACATCAGTTACATCAGGAAACACAACTACTCTCTTTAAAAAGGTGCCAAAAGAGTTGGAGCAATGCTGCAGTTCCACAAAGATAGATATAGATATATAGATACATACATCATCTAAACCACTTATCCTTCTGGGTTGCAGTGGGGTGCTGGAGCCTATCCCAGCAGTCATTGGGCAGAAGGCAGGATACACCCTGGACAGATCACCAGTCCATCGCAGGGCAGACAGACAGACAGACATACACAGTCACACACACACACTTAGGGGCAATTCAGCATGTCCAATCAGCCTGACTGCATCTTTTTTGGACTGTGGGAGGAAACCGGAGTACCCGGAGGAAACCCACACAGACACGGGGAGAACAGGCAAACTCCACACAGAAATGACCCTGGTCGCCCAGCTGGGAATCGAACCCAGGCCATTCTTGCTGTGAGGCGACAGTGCTACCCACTGTGCCACCGTGCCGCCCCTATATATCTTCTGACTGGTGGTCCCTTGTTGTGCCTGGTTCTAAAAGCAGCCTGCAACACTTCTTCTAACTTAATGGGAGGAGCTAAATTGCTGCAGACTGAACTGCCGAATGTATGTAAATTAGTAAATTATTGGTTCAGTTTTGTGACGTCACAAAAACTGTGTGGAGTATATGGAATGGTATGTTTGGAAACTTTAAAGGGGAAGTCCATCCATTTTTATGAAAGTTCTATACTTCAAATATTCACAAAGTCATTCAGAGGTTTGATGTGAATTCTGTGGTTGACTGTAGAAGAACTTTCGCCCTCAGATTTCTACATTTTATTTACTATGCAAAACAATGAACCTACATGTGCCTTCTTGAGTTTTTATATTAATGTTGATAGTAGTAATCTGGAAAAAATCTGTTTTCTTTGGGGACTATTTGGGAAAGGCCCCTACCTTGCATGGGTTTTAAAAATAAGTTTTAGGCCCAAACCTTCACACAACTATTGAAAACAATGTTTCAGGTATTGCACGTATTCATAACCATTTGTGTAATAATATTAGGTGAGGGAACTTTTAGCAGCGTTGAACTCTTCAGACGTACCTATCATCACCACTGTGAACAATTCTGACTTTGTGATTACACTCTTAGCAGAAAGGATTCTATATAGTACTGGTTCTTTGACTTTTTGGAGCTAAATAGAACCGTGTTTAAAAGGAACCATATAGAACTCTTTTTTCCATCATAGGGAAGAAGCATTTGTAAATTCTGAATGATTCTTGGATTCTTTGAAGAAATGTTGCCTTCACTTAAGAAGACAAAGAACCTATTTTAAGAATTTTAAAAATGTAGAACAGAACATTTCACATCAAACCACTCTGAATGACGCTGTTTACATTTTGGCAATGTAATTATACAGACATTTTGAAAAAAAATGTGAAAGTAGCCATTAACAGTGCTTACACACAATATCAAACTCACTTCCAAAAAGCGAGGAAAATTCAGCTTCCCACAGTGTGGGCCTTTAATGCTCAATGCTTCTATGAGACATCCTCAGTCGTATTATAAGCATCCCTATTTTGATTCAGTGTTAGCCAGTCATTTCTTCCACATGCCTTTAGGTATGTGAGTGTGAGGGTGGAGATGTGGAGATGGGTGAGGTTTTACAGGCCAGTGCAGCAGCTCACAGGCATGAACGCACTGTGGTGGGTCCATCTCCAACCAGCTAGATTTAAAGATGCCCAAACTTTGCCACAGTAGGCTTTGGCTTTTCAACCCTCAGCACGTAGGCTATGCTGTGATTGACACATTCTGAAACTACTACAAATCAGGCATTGGCGATTTACTGATGAGAAAAAGAGAGAGAAGACAGAAATCACCAGGAGCTTTAAACATTTATAAAGCATGTATCAGAAAGTGGAATGGAATATTGTCTGATAACATGTACTCTGAGAACTTTGAGGCTGAACATAAACAACCACCAATCAGATATGCATTCTATCTGCTAGTCTTAGTAAGGAGTGTTATTTGAACCACAAAGGCTTGTTTTGCTTCCTTCCCTCCTGTCTTTGTGAAAGGCTGTGTCATCTGAAAAGAATGTTCACGTTTAATTATCGGCCCCATAAAGTGGTTTGCTCCAACCACCTGCTATTGTTAATGAGTAGAGGCCTGAGCGCCGGTCCACCCACAGATCACTCACACACAGCGGTCCAGAGCTGTGATTCAGTCTGCAGCTCTCGCTCCTCCAGACAAAGACTTTCGGTTACCTCAGGAAACACATCTACACTCTTAAAGGTGCCAAAGGAGCAATGCTGTAGAAGAAGAACCTTGGTTTCCTATAGAAGCTTTCAAAAGGAGCTCCAGCTTCTTTTAACTTTATCTCTATCTGCCCCATCTGTAGTGCATCAGCTGATCACCTCAGACAAAAACTGCTTACAAAAGAGCAGAGAACCTGTTATAATAGAACACTTAGCTCCAAATGATTGCCCAGGGCAAGCCACCATGGAGTATGGTAACTGGTGTAGTGTAAAAAACACTGGAGTGTTCTTTTAAAAACATTCATTGAAGGAATCAAGGAACCAAGCATGGTTCTTATACCACATCACTCCAAAGAACCATTCTGACAACTTTTATTTTTAACCAACTTTCATTCAAACACATAACTGTTCAAAGTTTGGAATCACTTTTTTACAGTATAAAAACAATTTTGTTTTATATAGTCGTAAGCAAAAGTTTGGGCACCCCTGCTCAAATGTTGTGTTCTGTTGATTTTCTTGGTGAAAATAATTGAACACATCCTCTTTATTGCCAAATTTAACATTTTGGAAAAAATAAATAGATAAAACATACATGCTCAAAAGTTATGGCAAGTTTTATGTTTTATGTTTATTTTTTGTGCTCTAAAATTGGCAGGAAAATACCATATATAAGTTCATTCCCTGTAGAGGATATTATACACCATAAATATCCTCTCAGAAAATCAGCAAAACATGTAATTTGACCAAGACTGTTCAAACTTTTGCATATGACTATATGTATGTGCACAATGACTCTAATATGATGCTGGTATTCTTCATATTTCAAATTAATAAGAAGATATGAAAAATCTAAACATTTGTATAACACTTAGAATCACTATATATGGACAATACAGTATATTGTTTACTATTTCAAAGCTACTTGTTCTTAAAAAAACAAAAAAATGCATAAAACATTTGAAAACATTTAGTTTTTATGGTGTATACAATAGTATAGTATGTAATATATTATTTGTATTGTATATCAATCTTTAAGTAACATATACACTAAATTATCATAGTGTAGAACTATAACTATATAGTTACCAGAGTTTGTCATGCAAAGTAATGTGTCACAGTAATGTGGGTACTTTTCCTCATAACAAAGGGGTGTAATTCATCACAGTTTTAATTCTTGTCATTTCATTACACTCATTTGTGAAAAAATTAATATGCATATGTGATGCATTTAAATGGTAAATTTTCTAGATTATCCATGACTGTCTGTGTATGTCATTTGTGTGCTCATGTGCTGCCTGCTGGCTGACTATGGGACTTTTATTTTGAATGTGAGCACCACAGCACAAGCTTCAAGAATCTTTATATTTTTTTATTCATAAGGATAAGTGGTAGCTGTTCATCCAGCATTATCCCTTGATCATTTTAATCACCTGTGTCTTGTCAAAGTCATTATAGGAAAGTCGTGGAGGCAGAGATCTCCACTCGTACAACACCAGACTCCTCTTTCTCTTTGAATGAGGAGAAACCTATAAATCCAACACTAAAAGCCAAGTTATCATTTCAAAAGCTTGCTCACTGTTAAAATGCAACAAATAAATTGCAGAGTTTATAGCTATTAATAGTTTTGTGACCAGTGTATTCTGGCTAGTGCGCATAACTCCCCAATGAGGGGAGCTTTTCCCGCTTGTGGCTTTACCTTCAAGCTGATTGGCTCATTTTATTGAAGGGCGGGATTTTCCTTGTAAACAGATGCCATGTTGAGCATTGTTAGCTTTCCCTTTCCTTTTCCAGCCAGTGACCTGTCCCCTCCTTTATAATGTCTCTGGTATTGTTTAATGGCAGGGATACTGATAGGCCTTTTAAACGATATTTACAGTGACTGGCTATTTCTTTCTAAATAAAGGACTGAAAAGGACTGGATTTTTACCTTGTATTTTCCAGATGGTACAGATCTTGATGGGTTTAAATTGTAACATAGAAGTAAAGTAATGCGTAATGAGGTTACTTTTACCAGGAGGTAATAAGTACAGACATCCCACTAAATTTTGACAGAAGTCATAATTTGTAATGGGCTACTTTTTTGAGTAACAACCCAACATTGATCACTAAGTTAGATATTAGTTAAAAAATAACAACTACTAATAACAAGTGATTCCCAACTTACAGTGTGTTTTTGCTGGTGAAATCACTGACGCCTTAAGTAACATTATGGACAACCAGGACATTCTTTCAAGCTACCTCACCAAAGTGAATCACTAACCTCCTCCTCCTCCCTCTGAACACTTACACTCACACATTACACCAATTAACCCTGGCTCAACCACCGGGGGGGTGCTGGTCAATCAGCCGTGTTTCCCTAAGGTCAGAGGAAGGCCGTGAGGTGGTCAGAGACAACAGAGGAAAATAAACAGTCAGTGGGGTGATTATTTGAGCTTCTCGGTGGCACGTAGCGTCTCAGCCCACTGCAGCACCATCCCACACCAAGAGGAGCA